CCCGTTGTTATCCTAGTCATAACAGGCAGAGTTCTTTATATTAAAAAATACCAACTGGTTCTACCCTAGTAATTGTGTTTCTGTTCCATTCAGGAGTAGTATCTAATTCACTACTATATTAACTGTATGCATGAAGCAATGTGAGATGTTTAGTTCCTTATATTCTTTGACTCAATAAAAAAATCTAAAGGTACATTTTTTTTTTTTTGGTTCAAATATAGACCAACTTCAGACTGTTGTACTTTCCTGAATAATTCTCTCTCCAATTGGTTCCCATATCTGCATCACTACACAAGCTCTTATAATTTTACACCGAATCTAAATAACCTGCTTTATCCCAATTTCCTTATACTTCAATTTGGCAATGTTGCCTCTAGGTGACTTCTGTGTTCCAAAATTCTGGAATCCCAAAATGTTATTTAAAATTCATTTTCTCCTCAGTCAAGTAATGCATATTTCTATAGTGGAGGTTTTAATGTAATATTGAATACTACGGTACTTGTTCTCTTATCAACTTTTATTTTCTTTGTGGTGCTGCATTGAACCCACAGCCTGCATACTAAACTACATTCCCAGCCTCTCTCATTTTTTTACCTTGAGGTAGGGTCTCCCTAAATGATTAAGTAGTCATTATACCCAGCTGACTATCAGATTCTTGAGGGGCTAGAAGTCAATAAATATTCCATGAATAAATCTCTATTTCCTGAACAGAATGGTGGTAGTAAGGACTTCTGAGGCAAATAGCAAAGGGGGCCCCTATTTCTTGGCCACAGTTTCAGCAAATTCAAAGTTTCTATTAGGGTAATTTGAACGCTGTTGTTATTCTGATACTTTATGTACTCGATCAGCAGGTTCAGCGCCTAGGCTATCGAACGTCCCTAAATAAACAAGTAAAACATTTATTTTTACTCTCTACTATCTTAGAACAGAGTAACTATAGGTCATATACTAGGTTTAAAAAGTGGACCAGGAAAAACAGAAAATATGAAGCTGTAACTTAATCTACACGACAAAGTCATACCAAAAAAGGTAATATGGTAACATAGAATATCTTATATTTTCAAATTATGTGGCAACAAATATTTACTTCTCAAAACAATCCTCAAAATGATTTATATTTAAATTCCTTCCCAGGGCCTGGGAGACAACTCAGTGGCAAAAGTGCCTGCCTGTCACACATAAGGTCCCAAGTTCTATACCTAGTACCGAGGGGGAAAAAAAAATTTCTTTCCACAAACTACCCAAACACAATTTGGGAAAACAATCCAATGTGTTTTTAGTTGATTCAAAAAATGTTAAGTTTTATTTTAATTTATGAGCATATCCAAGTCCTAAAGGGGCATAATTACACATTGCCATAAATTCTGAAAAGAAACTGTTAGCATTAAAGTTTACAAGTGTAACTTTACATCAGATTCTCAAAAGGGATCTCTATATTCCAACCTGTCTTGACATTAATTAGATCTCAAAGCCAATAATCACTTATTATACTCTTTCAAACTTGGTAATAATTAAAACAAAGCTATAATTTAAAAAAAGAAAAAAAAGGATTTTTTAGCTGAGTGTGAAGGCACATGCCTATAATCCCAGCACTGAGAGGCTGAGGCAGGGAAATTGCAAATGCCAGCCTAGCCCAGGCAATATAACAAGGACTGTTTCAAAATTTAAAAAATTAAATTAAATTTAAAGGCTAGAAACATAGTTCATGGTGAAGGCCCCTGGGTCCAATTCCATTACTTCAAAAAATAAGTAAAATAAAAAGTTTAAAGAGTTTTATATGCCAACTGATCAGATTAAGCATTTCACTCTTTCCCAAGATTTCAATTCAAAAATGGAAGTCCTAAAGCCTGCAAGACAATTTGGAAATAAACTCATGAACTTAGTAATTATTTTTCAAATTTTAATACCATTCAGGGGTAGTCTCAGCCAAACAAAATTTTCACAGAATGGACAGGGCAATGGATGGAAAAAAATACTAGTCTAGCTAATGTAAATTCTGGTTTGACCCTTTCACTGAAAAATACTACATGGCCTAAGGAAAATTACTTTTAATTATGGAGATAAAACTATTCACTTGTAAAATTCCTTTCACTCAAAACAAGTTTATGAGTGCACAAGTAAAAAATTAATATACTGACACTTTTAATTTCGAGTTTCTCCTATCTTTTACTCTTGGGATTCAATCACAATGCACTGAAATTAGAGACCTTTTCTTTTCCCTCATATCATATCCTTCAAAACTGACAACAGCAACTGCTATTCATTCTTTCTCTGTACCACTGTGGGTGTTGGTATTTTTTACATAGAGATGACACTAACAATCCATAATTAGTGGGTGACTACTGACCCATCAACTCCTATGCGGCCTCACTTTTCCAGTGACTGGCTAAGGTACAATCTGGTTATGAAACAGCATTTTTTTTTTTTTTCCCTGTGTAAACCTGGCTAACTCTGCTAGCTGAACATAAACTGGCAACCAATTTAAATCACTCACCTTCATTTTCATCTAGCAAAAATGCGTTTTTTTATAAAGTCTATTAATTGCTACACTTTTATTGGACCCTACTGTACAAAAAAACCTCATAGGCTGACACCTAGTCTGTGATCCCGAAGTATGATCCACAACACACTCAGATTAAGGGGTTAAAATCAGGACAAGGTGATGGGAATACCGAAGCATCCTGTAGGAGAAGGCAGGAAAGCTTGGCTGAAAACCACAGGCAGCATCAGGAACCCGAGGGAGAAGCGGGAATAAATGGCAAATCTGTGCCTGCATGTTTTTATTGGACAATGCCACGAAGCAAAACTAGTTAACAAGTCGGTAAGGGAAAGATGGAGATGTACGCCAGCATCAAAGGCCAAGTTTACAGACTGCTCAGTCAGTGTGGGAGAGCGAGCAGGACTCGGGGTAACGCGACGGTGCAATCGCCGCCAGTGCCCATCAACCGTGCACAAGGACGTCGGAGACTAACAGAAGAAACGCACGGCAGGACAAAGGGCCAAGATTTCGCCCCGCGCGAGACGCCCGGTCGGTAGGAGGGGGTGGCGGAACGGCTTCCGAGGATGTGGAAGCATCACCCAAGGTGGGGAAAATGCATGCGCGGAGGGACGCTGGGGCTGCACAGGCCCTCATCCCCTCTCCCCGAACCCGCTGCAACAGGGCGGGATGGCATCGGGCCTCGGGTCCGAGGGGGCTCGGCGGGCGCAGCCCGGGCGTTAGAGCGGGTCTGGAGACGCGACGCGGCCCTCTCGGGGTTCGGCGACGGCACAGCCCTGTCCCCCGCCGAACACCAGCCCGTCTCACCTGCGCGTCACCGCCCGGCAGCCGCGGGCAGCGGGGAGACGCGGGGGACACGTCCAAGTCACTCTCCTCCTCAGCCTCACCCTCCACTCGAGGGAGGCCCCACGGTCCCGGCGGCGGCCACGGTTGCTCCATGTCCCGCTGGCCCTAGCCCTACAAACGCCACCGCCAAAGGACTCGCAGTGGACAAAACCTGCTGCACGGAACCAGCCGCTTCAGCTGGTCGGGGCCGTTACCCAGAACCCCTCTGCGGGGCGCAACGCCGACGCACACCTCGCGCAGGCCCGGGTCGCGCCACCGGCAGACGCCGGAAGAAGAAAGCGGCCGTTTGGTGCGTCACTTCCGGTTAGGGCGTGGCCGCAGGGGTTGAGGTCTAGGGCTAACTTTCAGAGCTTAGATCTTGACTTTTACAGCTTTGAGCACCCTAGCTTTAGCTTATTGGGGTTGTGGGTGATGAGATGTTTGATAGATAGGGCCAGATACTTGTTCGCTCGTGTTTTGTATTTCCGAAACTGGATCCTGACTGCTTGTTTAAAACTGCAAATTCATCCTGTACAATTGATGTATAAATCGAGGTCTAAGACGAGATGGGAGGGTAACAGTTTTAAAAAGCAGAACCAGTTTTCCACTCGTCCAATTACGGACAAGAGCTCTGAAACACTTGGCTGAAATGAGGACAACTCGGATAAAGTGAACATAGCTCCAGCACAGTAGGACGAGTACCTTCAAAAGATTGGGGAGAGGGTCCCTGTAGTCCTCCATGTCTTCTCTAATCCTAAATGTTTGCCCTGTCATTGTTCCCTTTGTTAACAAAGGAAAGAGAGAAAGAGAGAAAAAAAAAGGAAGGAAGGAAAGAAGGAAGGAAAGCAAGCAAACAAGCAAGCAAGCGAGTGAGCCCACTGGCCTGAGGTAACACATTTCAAGAAGCAGGAGCTGTCTAAAGGAGTCTTAACTTGAGAATTTGCAGGTATAACAACCAGGCCTTGACCCTCTACTTATAATTAAGAGACCCAGATAAGAACAAAGAAATGTCACTTTCTCAGTCAATTAATGTTTGGAGTTGGTTAATAGCAAATATTGAGCAAGATGTGAGCAAAGGGAGGAAAGTCTCTGACAATCTTTCACAATTAGTTTTCCTCTATTGTGCTGACAATAGTTTCCGAAGATGTATAATTTAGTATTAATTACATATATTGAGAAGTGCTGCACTTAAATTTTTTGAGTTTGGGGGTCAAAACCAAAGGAGAAAAGGAAGGGAAAAAGAAAAGCCTGGAGTGGTGGCACACACCTGTAACTTTTCAATGAACTAAAAGACACTAATAATATAAATCAGCATATATATTAAAATATTTTTGAAACTATGGAATAGGTAATATGGGGGAACATCTAGAGTTCTCCCCACTTCTTTGTACCTTCTATTTTACTCTTCATTTGCATATATATACACTTTGTCTCATATAAGAGAAACCATGAAATATTTAAACGTGTCTAACGTATTTTACTCAATATTATGTTCTGCGGCAAGCAGGCACAGGGGCAGGGTTTGATCCTCAGGCCTGCCTTGCAGGCCCTGCCCTTGGGGCTTGCAGAGCCAGCAGTTGAGACTGGGTGTGGTGGCTTGCGCCTGTAATCCTAGCTCTTGGAAGGCTGTAAACAGGTGGACCACTATGAGTCTGATCTAGTAGTGAGACCCTGAACTCCCTGTAGGCCTTTCCCTAAAAACGTAAAATAATAATAATATTATGTTCTGAAGTTGCATCTATTTACCTACAAATTCCTTAAGTTTATCTTTCTTTATGGAGGAA